TTATCAAATTGAATTTAAGAGCTGTAGTCCTAAAATGTTCAGGAATTACTCACAGTATATGTAGTGCAATGGGAAAAGTGCTCATCGTGCGCGCCATTTTTTAAAATTAGTAATCATTTGTGACACCTTACTGTAGAGAATACAATATACATACAGAGTACAGATGACAACACAGGACAGTACACCATATATACATACAGAGTACAGATGACAACACAGGACAGTACACCAAATATACATACAGAGTACAGATGACAACACAGGGCAGTACACCAAATATACATACAGAGTACAGATGATAAAACAGGACAGTACACCAAATATACATACAGAGTACAGATGACAAGAACAGGACAGTATACCAAATATACATACAGAGTACAGATTACAAAACAGGACAGTACACCAAATATACATACAGAGTACAGATTACAAGACGGGACAGTACACCAAATATACATACAAAGTACAGATGACAAGACGGGACAGTATACCATATATACATACACATTACAGATGACAAGACGGGACAGTACACCAAATATACATACACAGTACAGATGACAAGACGGGACAGTACACCATATATACATAATACACAGTAAAGAGGACAAAACAGGACAGTACACCAAATATACATACAGAGTACAGATGACAAAACGGGACAGTACACCAAATATACATACACAGTAAAGAGGACAAAACAGGACAGTACACCATATATACATACACAGTACACCAAATATACATACAGAGTACAGATGACAAAACAGGACAGTATACCAAATATACGTACAGAGTACAGATGACAACACAGGACAGTACACCAAATATACATACAGAGTACAGATGACAAGACGGGACAGTACACCAAATATACATACAGAGTACAGATGATAAAACAGGACAGTACACCAAATATACATACACAGTACAGATGACAAGGCGGGACAGTACACCAAATATACATACAGAGTACAGATGATAAAACGTGACAGTACACCCAAAACAAATAGATTATCAAGTACAATAGGTGGCAACGCAGAATGTGTACACTCTCATGATTCAGCTGTATCTACTTCATAAGTGTCAAATCACTGTTATTTGTCTGACAAAATTATAAATAATAGTGATAATTTTAGACTAAAGTGCTTATCTTTTAATGAAATCAGTGCAATTTTATGTGTTCCTTATTTTCTGTTTATACTCTTTTTCATTTAAAGCCCCCTTGACTAAATAAAGAGGTTGAATCTGATATTGTAGACAACCATATAACATTGTAATTTGGTGATATTAAGGTAAAACATATTTCAGAAATGTTTTATGACATATTTGGGGAAGTCCTCCGGAAATGTTTAGCCGAGATTAATCTCCAGGTCTGGGGGAAATGCAAAAAGAAAAGGTTGTTTAGCTGATTAAATGTCGTCTTTAAAGGGATTTAAATTTTTTCTCAACTGTAGAAATTTCGCTAATTCACTTACTGATAGCAAAGTTTTGCGAAATTATTTATAGAAATTACGAGAAATTGAAGTTTTGCTAATTACGCGTATTTTTTGCAAATTATGCCATTATTTCGCAAAATTGAAAATTTGCTAATTACGCGTAATTTTTACAAATTATGCCATTATTTCGCAAAATTGAAGATTTGCTAATTACGCGTATTTATTACAAATTTTCGCAAAATTACTGTGTAGAAATTACGTGTAATTACGCCGTAATTTCGCGAAATTGAAGTTTCGATAATTACGTGTAATTATTACAAACTATTGTGAAATAACTTTGTAAAATAACGTGAAATTATGACGTAAATTTGCGAAATTAAAGTTTTGCCAAATACGCGTAATCCTACGAAATTACAGGAAATGAAAATTGTTTCGCGTAACCGTACGTACTGCGTAATTTCGCGTAAGTGAATAATCTAGTTTGTTGGAATCCCTACCCTGAGACATCCAGGTTTGCATTCCTTCTGAACAAGAAGACAAATTATGGCTTAATGCTTTAAAAATTGAAGAGAAAACTGAAATCCGAGATGCTCTACACACACTTTTGTTTTTTTGTTTGTTTTTGTTGTTGTTGTTGTGTGTGTATGATGCTATAATGTGTACTATAATGAAATTGATTTTTTGTTAAAATGTTATTTTATGAATATAGGTATATTATGATGGCGGTCTGATGTGTCAAAAAGTTAGAGGTCAAAAGAATAAAAAATCAGCTGCCCTTAGTAATTAAACAGTAAAAATATAAATTACCCCACGCCATTTTTAGGAAAGAAAAAACAGAATAAAGCGTAAAAATGAAAAGAAATATAGTATACACTCTATATAATTTGAGTTGTCTTTCTATCTAATAGTTTTTTGAATACGATATTTATCTAAGCTTAATCTTGGAAATCATATACAGGGTGTCCCAAAAAAACATGGGAATTCAGTGACAAATTCGATATCGTCTTTATTATTAATTAGCATTGTAATACCTAATTTCAAAAGTCATAATATTATTATGTCTGCTTGATTTTATTTTATGAAAAGGGTAAAAGACTGTAAAAATATGTCTATAATGTCTCCGCAAGATGAACAGTGAATACTGACAAGTTACAACCGCATGCAGTCAAAACATAAACAATTAAACAAAATGTGAACATAGCAGACGAAACTCTTACAGATTACAGCTTTCTCAGTAGGTATCACTATACTAAATCATTGAATTATTTAAAAAGACGATATCGAATTCGTCACTGAATTCCCATGGTTTATTGGGACACCCTGTAAACTAGTTGGACAACATGTCGTCTTTCTTTTTACATTTGACACTTGTGACGTTGTGCACAGTTGTTTAATTTTTTTGTTGCCATCTATTGTACTTAACAATCTATTTGCACCAAATATACGTACAGAGTACAGATGATAAAACGGGATAGTATACCAAATATACATACAGAGTACAGATGACAATACACCAAATATACATACAGAGTACAGATAACAAGACGGGACGGAACACCATATATACATACAGAGTACAGAGACAAAGACGGGACAGTACACCATATATACATTCAGAGTACAGATGACAAGACAGGACAGTACACCAAATATACATACAGAGTACAGATTACAAAACAGGACAGTACCCCAAATTTACAAACAGAGTAAAGATGATAAAACAGGACAGTATACCATATATACATTCAGAGTACAGATGTCAAAACAGGACAGTACACCAAATATACATACAGAGTACAAATGATAAAACAGGACGGTATACCAAATATACATACAGAGTACAGATGATAAAACAGGACAGAACACCAAATATACATACAGAGTACAGATGATAAAACAGGACAGTATACCAAATATACATACAGAGTACAGATGATAAAACAGGACAGTACACCAAATATCATACAGAGTACAGATGATAAAACAGGACAGAACACCAAATATACATACAGAGTACAGATGATAAAACAGGACAGTATACCATATATACATTCAGGGTACAGATGACAAAACAGGACAGTACACCAAATATACATACACAGTACAGATGACAAGAAAGGACAGTACACCATGTATACATACACAGTACAGATGACAAGACAGGACAGTACACCAAATATACATATACAGTACAGATGACAAGACAGGACAGTACACCATATATACATACACAGTACAGATGATAAAACAGGACAGTACACCATATATACATACACAGTACAGATGATAAAACAGGACAGTAAACCAAATATACATACACAGTACAGATGATAAAATAGGACAGTACACCATATATACATACAGAGTACACCAAATATATTTACAGAGTACAGATGATAAAACAGGACAGCATACCATATATACATTCAGAGTACAGATGCCAAAACAGGACAGTACACCAAAAATACATACACAGTACAGATGACAAGACAGGACAGTACACCATAAATACATACACAGTACAGAAGACAAGACGGGACAGTACACCAAATATACATACAGAGTACAGATGACAAGATGGGACAGTACACCAAATATACATACACAGTACAGATGACAAAACAGGACAGTACACCATATATACATATACAGTACAGATTACAAAACAGGACAGTACACCAAATATACATACACAGTACAGATGACAAGACGGGACAGTACACCTTATATACATACAGAGTACAGATTACAAGACGGGACAGTACACCATATATACATACAGAGTACAGATTACAAAACAGGACAGTACACCATATATACATACAGAGTACAGATGACAAGACGGGACAGTACACCAAATATACATACATGTGAGTACAGATTACAAAACAGGACAGTACACCATATATACATACACAGTACAGATGACAAGACGAGACAGTACACCAAATATACATACACAGTACAGATGACAAGACGGGACAGTACACCATATATACATACAGAGTACAGATGACAAGATGGGACAGTACACCAAATATACATACACAGTACAGATGACAAGACGGGACAGTACACCATATATACATACAGAGTACAGATGATAAAACAGGACAGTATACCAAATATACATACAGAGTACAGATGA